GAGAACATGTCTGAATTGTTTTAAACCTCTAGGTCTTCTTTTTAATTTGTAACACAGGAAGTTTAAAAAAAAAATAAAAAAAACAATACAAGTACCTACTATATGCCAGTGCTAATATAGGCACAAGGGCACATCAATGAACGTGACAGAGCAAAATCTTTGCTGTAGTGGACCTAAGATTGTAATGGAGTGAAGGTAACAATACAATTGTGAGACAGAATAAATGTATACATAGGTATTCAAGAGTGGCAAGTGCTACAAAGAAAGTAAAACAGGATGAGTTGAAGATTGGCTTGGTGGGGACTGGGAACTTTATCACAATAACAGCAGGAGGAGGCCAAGATGGGGAAAGAAAGAGGAAGGTGGAAATTTTGGTAACTAGCTAGAAAGCCAAAAAAAAAAAAAAAAAGAAAAAAAGGACTGATATTTTTAATAAACTAGTGGAACAGAGGAAATTGAACTTTAAAGCTTTAACCAAAATGATCGCAGAACAACTGTCTGAAGAGATAAGAGATGTACCAAGGATAAAATGATGAAAAGAAAGCAGCACATACAGACTGGCGTTTGGATCTTATTATAAACCCTTTGAAGAGTTGTAGGCTGGAGGGACGGTGTTTATCTGAGTTACACTGTGAAATGAAGTCTCAGTGGAGAATGAACTGAAGGGGTCAGGTGTTGGGGCAAGTGTGGAATCATCTACTGTTCTTTGCAAAGATTTTGCCATCACTCAAGAAAGATCGTGAAGGATTAGATTGAAGAGATAATCACCAGGCTTGGAAGAGGGATTCCATCTAATGTTGTCATAAATCACATATCATAGACTCTTTCTTTCATAATTTATAGTACAGAAATTTTTCTCTAGGGTATTTCCAAATCCAAATACTGCAGAATTTTATCACAATAAGAGCAGAAGGAGGGCAAGATGGGGAAAGGAAGAGGAAGGTGGAAATTTTGGTAACTGATTAGAAAGCCAAAAACATTGACCTGATGTTTTTAATAAATTAGTAGATCACAGGAAATTGGACTTTAACGTTTTACATGTTTAAAATATTTCTAAAGATTATCCAAAGTCACATTCAAAGCCTGGTAATCATTTCTTTTTTCCTAACGATAGATCACAAGGATTCAGTTAACATTTTTTTCTTTTGCCAAGGACATAAATGTTGAAACTATGCTGTGAATCCTGCTTAGTTCAAAATTAATTTATTACAATCAGAATACGTGTTAGACTGTAAAAATTGGAGGCTTATGAACATATATTCTTCTTTATTTCATGGACAGTGTTCTACAATGTAAAAAATGTAAATATGGCATATATTTAAATGTGAGTATTTTCTTCTACATATTAACCTCTCAGACTAATAGTAAAAAATAACAATTTGCACAGAAAAGTAAACCTAAGAAATTTTCTTCAGAATTAATTAATTGCAACATGCAAAATTTAAAACATGCTTTCAAATAAAATTCCCAGCTCTAATTAGTCCCAGAGAGAGAGAGAGATTACAATGGAGTAGAATAAAATTTTCTTCTCTCACTCGTTGCTTTCATCTATCTTTCTATTTTCATCCCCTGGGAAAGCTGAATTTAAAAATTAGAAAAAAATATAATGTCTCACATTTAGAACATCAGTGATGTCACGAACTTTAAAAGAATTTGAGTTTTACACAATCAAATCAACATTCTTAATATTCCAGCTAACTAGTCTGCTATCCATTAAACCACAAATATGGGGATCCCCTAATCTTTGAGAATATTAATGTTAAATTGGCCATTGAAGAGAACTTTTCTTTTTAATGCTTAAGATCCTGATCAGTTTTAGTGAAATTCTTAACAAAGTTAAGCTTGCCCTGTTCTGAATTGAAGATTGGTTTAGGCAAACATATTATTCATAGAAAGCAATTTTTGTATTAAGATAGTAGGCATTGACTAATATGACTAAATTCCCTTTACTCCTTTGAGAAGGAATTGTCTTATCTCCATATTTAATTGACAACAACAATGAACAAACAAACAAACAAAAATTATGGCCATATTACGCCTCTCAGGAGTAATGGCTGGGTGGCAGGAGTAGTAATAACAGTGGTAGTAATAGCTTAGGGTTTTTCTACCTCAGCCCAAATGACATTTTGGGCCAGATACTTCTTTGTTGTGGGAGATGCCTTGTGCATTGTAGGATATTTAGTAGAATCTATGACCCATATCCAGTAGATTTCCCCCAAGTTGTGACAATCAAAAATGACTCCAGAAATGGACCAATGTCCCCTGGGGGAGCAAAATTAATATCTCATTGGGAACCACTAGTACTAGCTCATATTTGTTCAGACCTTCGTAAGTGAAGTGTGGCAATATATGCAATCCCCAAAATATTGTTTTGAGCTGAAGGCACTTAAAAAACAGCAGGTATAAGAAGGCCCCCTATGACCTCCACTGCTTTTCCTGAAAACAAACAAACAAAAAAACACATATGGAAGATATTCTCCTTATACCAGGAGGAGAGTCACATTCTTGTCATCCAAGGACTAGAAATTGAGGCTGAGAGAAGTCTATGCAAACCAACCTTGTAAACTAACCCTTGCCTTTCCAGTCACTTCTCCACAATTAACTGCCCTAGCCCAAGTCCCCTTGCCCTGCAACATTTTCATAATTTACTGCACCTTGTCCAACTTAATATATAAGTGTTCAACTGTAACTACTTATTTGGGCCTTCATTTTCTTATGGGGGCTCCTGTGCTATGTAAAACTTATATTAAATAATTCTGTATGCTTTTCTCTTGTTAATAGGTCTCAGGTCACTTTAACTTACAGGCCTACCCAAAAACTCTAGGAGCATAGAGGTAAAATTTTGCCTACCCTACATAGGTAAAGTTTAAGCACTTTTACAAGTATAAATTAACTTAATCCTCAAAATCTTTTTATAATTAAAATATTTTTATTAACTCCATTTTTAAAATTGTGGAAATTGGGACATAGGAGTTAGCTTCCTGTAGCTACACAGCTAATATGCATTTAGTAGAGCTGGGATTTAGACCCAGACAATCTGGTACACTTTGTAGAGGGAAGCTATAATCATTCATTCATTTAACAAATGGAATTGATTGAGTTTAACATGTAGAGAATATGAAGAAAGAAAATAAGTTAGAAAAAATGAATAAGTCTTTATTCTTGTCTTCAACTTACTCACAGTTTAATAGCAAATGCTAGGAAGGGCTGTCAGTGTTTAAGTATGTAACAATGGGGAGTTAAGTGTTCCTCACTCTTCTGGCTCTTCATCCAACGTAATTTCCTTCTTGGTCATTTTCCAGTCCCAGCTAAACTATCTGGCAGTAAATCCCTGAATAGACGCTACCTTATGGCTAAAACATCATCTAAATGGTAGTCAAGAATACCATTCCCTGCTAGTAGTATTGGCCATTCATCAAGAAAAATATATGGAATCAATGACTTTCACATTCTACAAGAATCAATCTGATATTTGTGAATGAAAGGTAATATTTAGGCAGTACATTTACTGGAAATCCTTGTAAAGAGAAATACTGAGATTTGTAAAATGAACTTTATAAATCTTTAGACTGAGTTTCACTTGTAGCACTACCCAAGCTAACTAGATAACTGAGAGCATTTAGGCATCTGTCTCAGGATGTAAATTTAGAGGACTGGATTAAATAATATATAAAATCAAGTCCAGTTCAAATACTCTATGGATCTCTGGATTATACAAGTATAAGACATACTTACCTGGATTATCTCACAACATTTATCTGAAAATAAGTAGTTACATAAATGTTGGAGTTGGTTTTAGAATTTACAGATTGTGGAGAATTTGTTTTATGATTTCAAGATTCAAAAACACTGTATGGCTATTTTTCAGTCTTCTTCTGTAGACCAATAAGAACAATATAATTTGAGGACACTTAATGACAGCTCAGTGTTAATTTTAACAGCTTCTGGGGGCTTGTTACATAGTCTGTGGAGCAGTTTATATGCTTGGTATATTTTAGTACAGTACTTTAGAGCTATTTTTACAAGCAATTTGATATCTCCCTTATCTTTTGAATGAGGAAACAACAGAGGAACAACTCCAGTGTCTAGCTTGAGGTCAACTAGCAAATGAGAGAGAAGAGTGGAATCAAATTTACAGACCAAGCACGTTTCAAGAATCATTTTTTTTCAAAAACAATAGGACAAAAAATTATTCTCTGGACTTTATTTTATCAAACTTATGAAGCAATGGATTTGCCAATTTAAATTCATTTTGTTAGGCCCATTAAAATATATTATAACCATAATCAAAATAAGAAAAGACAACAATAAACCAATCCATTTACTTTTTAATCAATTCTGTAGACAAATTAAATTTAAAATTCTCCATGAACTGCCATTTCAAGAGACGTATCCAAAGAACACAAAGAATAAAGATGATCCTCTAATTCATTTCATTTCTCTTGCATGCACTGAAAACTTGTATTTGAATAAAGGCAGACGAAATATATCATGAGTCAGCAGGACATCTAATCTGTGGAAAATGCTATGGGGGAAAAAACTTTCTTTTTAAATGTGTAGAATTCGGTTTCTCAAATATATTTAGATTGTGGCCAAAGTTATTGAATACCCTGCAATAATGGTTTTGAAAAAGGAAAAAGAGACTCTTTTTATTTAAAGTTTGGGTAATGCTAACATTTCTATTTTATTGTTTTCTAAGATGATTTTATCCTCAATTTGATACATTGCCTGTTAAAGTAAAATAATATGTAAGATAATATTATTATGGCTTATACCTCTTGATATACCTATAGTTGTGTACAAATATATATTTGTGTGTATATACATTTGTGTATATACATGTTTTATGACAAAATGTTTTTGTCTTGATAATAACTTTTCGGAGCTCCAATGTAATAGCTACTTAATATGAAAAAGACAGGCATATTAGTTTCCTGCGCTTACTGTAACAAATTACCACAAATTTCATTAATTAAAACAGCATGAGATTATCACCTTACCTTTCTGGAGGTCAGAAGTCCAAAAATACGTTCTACAGGAATAAAAGCAAGGAGTCAGGAGACTGTGTTTATTCTGGAGACTCTAAAGGTCCCAGCCGTTATCTTTTCCCACTTCTAGAAACGTCCTCCACTTTTTGGCTCATGGCCCCTTGCAGGAATGCCACCTCTCTCTCCTCTGCTTCCCTTATCACATTTCCTTTTCTGACTCTGATTCTTCCACCTTGCTCTTACAAGGAACCTCATGTATACCTACGTAACAAACCTGCACATTCTGCACATGTATCCTGGATCTTAAAGTACAACATAAAAAGTTAAAAAAAAGCAAAAAACAAAAAAAAAAGTTGGTCAGGCGCAGCGGCCTCACACCTGTAATCCCAGCATTTGGGGAGGCTGAGTCGGGTGAATCATCTGAGGTCAAGAGTTTGAGACCAGCCTGACCAACATGGTGAAACCCTCTCTCTACTAATAATACAAAATAATAAGCTGGGCGTGGTGGCACATGCCTGTAATCCCAGCTACTCAGGAGTCTGAGGCAGGAGAATTGCTTGAACCTGGGAGGCAGAGGTTGCAGAGCCGAGGTTGCACCACTGCACCCAGCCTGGGTGATAGACTGAAACTCCGTCTCCAAACAAAACAAACAAACAATCAAACAAAAAGAGTTAGGAAAAAAAAAAAAAATTCCTCATCTGATTCCATTGGCCTACCCAGATATTCTAAAATAATCTTCCCATCTGAAGATCCTTAATCACATCAGCAAAGTGTCATGTACAGTAACATAGTGACAAGTCTGGGGGATTAAGACCTGAACACCTTGGGGGAGATGTATTATTTTGCCTACCACAAAACCTCTGCCATACTATTTTCTATTTATTATGTGTGTTGGTGTGTAGGATTTGAAGACATATTTAACTGTGTATGGTTCATGCTAGAGAAGATGATATAAAACATAAAGTACAGCAATGAAAAAAAGTGTAAATATTCAATTAGATTAGTTTATTTTTTTCTAAATTTCTTCTGTGAAAAATGTTATATTGATCTAGAAAAGGTACCATCTCACAAAGGATACACTGCAACCCTAAAATCTTCAAAGGCCATTATAAAAGTACCTTGCCAAATCTTACATCTGGAAAAAAGTTATTCAAAGATTGGTATGAGATATGTTAACAAATAATTGAAATAATTTAGGGAGCAGGTTCTTTCCATTTGGGAAACCTGCAATTTTGCTCTAAGCTATATTACCGATATTGTCAGAGCTACTGTGTCAAAAATAAAAATGAATGATGAATTCTTACTATGTGCTAGTAGCCATACTATACCCTTTACATGCATTTTCTTATTTTGTGCAATGTGCACTTTTATGATCCCACTTTGTAGATACAGAAACTGAGGTTTCAGTTGCCTCAGCTATTACACAACCTTCTTGTTATTACATAAACGGTGCTGGCATTCCAAGTCAGGTCTGTTTACAAGCATATGAAAAAACAAAATGGCTTCAGTTAGTACAAAATGCTCATCACAAAAAGTACTGATATTTCCCAGCCGGGGGCAGTGGCTCACGTCTGTAATCCCAGCACTTTGGGAGGCAGAGGCGGGTGGATCCCTTGAGGTCAGGAGTTCGAGACCAGCCCAGTCAACATGGTGAAACCTCCTCTCTACTAAAAATACAAGAATTAGCCCGGCGTAGTGGCGGTCACCTGTAATCCCACCTACTCAAGAGGCCGAGGCAGGAGAATTGCTTGAGCCTGGGAGGCGGAGGTTGCAGTGAGCTGAGATCAGGCCACTACACTCCAGCCTGGGCGATAGAGGGAGACTCCCCCAAAAAAGAAAAGAGAGGGAAAAAGTACCAATATTTCCCAACTGCTCAGTAACTATTGTTTTTCATGTACCTTTCATAATATCCCTGGGAAATTTAAATTATACTTTTCATCTTTTAAAGCAGAAACCTGTGGTCTAGCAATTTTATTTCAATCATTCTCCCATGTTTTAACTTTCTAAGTAGTAGCATATAATGTATGAAAATAATGAACTAACATTCAAGTCAGATCCTAATAACAAAAAATGTATTTTTCCTTTGAACCTATGGTAGATATTTTGATCTCTTCTTAAATTTTGAAACTGGTCAGTTGTTCAAGAAAGACCATTGATTTTGGAGAAAGTACAGATTATCTTTGTATCTGTATTTTGCAAATTACTCTCTGTGGAAAATAATTAACTTCCCAGAGCCTTGGATTCCTTATCTTTAAAATGGGGAAAACAACACTGGCACCATGGATTGTTATAAACTCTCAAAAACTAGATTCCTTCTCTAATGGAGTATTATTTTTTACAACATTCTCGAAAGGTAGAACTCTCCTCTTTTCCTCAATTATTTTGCCATTTATAAAGATACTCTGAAGCCTGTGGGAATGGGTATGGAGGAAAGTTACATTTTCTTTTATTGTGTTGAGTAAATAGTTTCTCAAATCCTGTTTCTTTCTTTTTCTTTAATTTTTTTTTTTAAAAACAACAACAACAACACTATATTCTTGGTTGTTTTGAGCAGGGTTGGTTATTATTTCATTACAAATCAATCAAGCATATTCACAATGACCAAATTGCAATGGGATTCATTAGGAATTCAAGTTTGCCACTGTTCTTTGCCTTCTCTCTTTCTGCCTTCCAAGAGATGCCAACATACTTACTGTGAATAAAAAGCCAACATGTCTCTGATTAGTCGAGCCCAATACTATGAAGAACATATAAAAGACCAACAATAAATAACCTTTTGAAAATGCTGCTTTTTTGAGATAATGCAGCTTCATGTTTTAACAAACCCAACCTGGAGTAATAAAGGTCTCTTCTGAAACTCAAGACCAGCAGTAACTTGATTCCATCGAGGTCCAACTCTAAGTGGGTGTCAAGGCAGGAAGGACAACATTCATAGCAGTAATTTTAGAAATATTTTATTTAATTTCAAAACCCTTCTAGACACATTTACTTCATCTCCCGTTTGCTTGGTGTGGAAAACCAATTACTTCGTGGTGATGATGCAGTCAAATCTGTAAACAGTTATTACATTTCAATTAGAGCTGCGTGAAACTCTATATATTTGGTTTGCAGGAAATTAATGCAAATCTTTTTTGATATTTCAATTCACAAGGGGTCATACCCCTACACATTTGGCTCTCAGTGTAACATTTAGAGCCATTCAAATATCAAAGACTATTTTCCCAGCATAAAACATCTGGCCTAGAGTTAAAATCTCCTATAGCATTCATCTGTATTTAAACTCCCACCTACAAACTGCACCAGAAACTTTGCCAAAAGCAGTCAACTTAGACTGACTTTTTACTATAAAAGAAAATTTCTAGTGAATCTTTTACTATAAAACATATACTTGATCACATTCATGGTCTTGGTTGAACACTCATAAATCACTGAAACACAAACAAGAGCTTTTCATCACTGATAACAGGAATGATAGTGAGATGGAAGGATGAGAATAAGGAAACAAATAGTGAACACTTTCTATGTTCTAGTCACTGTTCTTGCATTATCTTACTAAATTCTTGCATTAGCACTGTGAGGTTATGTACCACCATTCTCCATGTGAGAACATTCAGATTCAGATTAAGAAACATGTCTGAATCACATAGGTAGGTGGTGGTGCTGGGGATGAAGCCAGATCTCTCTACTTCCAAAGCCTATGATAATTATCCTGTCTACCACAGTGTATAGACTTGAGGAATATAGTTAATGTTTATAATTACAGTTGACCATTGAACAACATGGGTTTGAACTGTGTTGGTCCAATTACATGTGGATTTTCTTCTGCCTCTGCCATCTCTGAAACAACAGGATCAACCTGTCCTCCTCATTCCCAGACTACTGAACATGCCCACAAGGATAAAGACCTTTATGATGATCCATTTCCACTTAATTAATAGTAAACATATTATCTCTTCCTTATGATTTTCCCAAGAAAATTTTATTTTTTCTAGCTTACTTCATTGTGAGAATACAATATATAACACATATACAAAATATGTATTGACTGTTTATGTTATAGGTAAGACTTCTAGTCAACAGTAAGTGATTAGTAGTTAAATTTGGGGGGAAGCAAAAGTTATACATAGGTTTTCTTTATTTTTCCATTGACCATTGCTTATCATAAATGCCTTTCAGAAGAGCTGGGTTGGCCTATCAACTCTTTACACTAGTACCTCTGATCCTCTTTAAAATCTCCATGTTACTTGAGGAAAAATGGAAGCTACAAAAGTCAAATGATAAAGGAATTATTCTCTTCATTCCCAAGATGTGTTACATATGGTGGCAATGGGGGATGGGGGAGGAGGGCAAGTGTGCAGGCTGAATTTATTGAGGACTTCACAATTCCATCAGTTACCAAGAAAAATAACATATGGACTGAACATTTATTCCAAGGAACAGATTTGTTTCTAGTTACTCTCCAGCAATTGAAAGAGAAAGAAAGAAAAAAAATTTTAAGAGCCATCTGAAAATACTCACCAAATGAGAGAAATAAGGTTGATCTTTTTCAGACTGCAGAATTAACATTTAAAAAAAATGAGTCATAACGATTCAATTTAAATGTATTGACTGAGCTACTATTATCATGAATCGACTTCTCTACTAGGGATGATGTGGTGCCTGTTCTCAAAAGCTTAAGTTCAATTTTTTTGAAGAAAAAGTGTCTTACTGCATTTTTTTTTTTTTTTTTTTTTTTTTACTGGTTTCAAGTTTTTCCTTTCATTTATTTCCATCATTATCTTACACTTTGTCAGCCTTTCCAGTACCATGATAAAAATACCCCCAAAATGTATATTAGCAAATGGGGACACCTTCCTGTACCCCATCATTTGTTTATAATCAATCATTTGCTTCATGTCACCCCACTTACTGGTTTGAGTATAGAACAATTCATAACTTTTGGCATTGTGAAATTCCTCAGGCTGAATAAAAAAGCATTGTCAAGAAACCAAAATTAAAAAGTTAAGTTTAAAATTGTTTCTACCCTTCAGGCTCGTGACATATGAAAGTATTAACAGCATATGTCTACCTTAGATTTTTAAACCACAGGA